TAAAATTCAAATATTTCGACCGTTACACAAAGGGGAATCGGTTTCTTCCGAGCATACTAGAATTCATGGAGCCAAACCATTCAGGGGAATCGGTACCCCTTGGGGGGAATCGATTCCCTCTGAGTAATCTGGAATTTTTGGCTTTGAAATGGTTTGAAATACTTTGTAAAATTGTTTTGAAATTGTTTTAAGATTAAAACTTAATTTTACACTTGAGTAAAGATTAAAAATGATTTTTGAAAGATTTAGAGTAATGTTTTGATATTCGAATAATTATATCGAATCTACATTGAAAATCATTTGGAAAATCTTAAAATTCATTTATCTTAATTTGTTATATCGAAATATTAAAATGTATTCAACACACTCGTACTCATATACATTATGATTCCATTGCTTCAGATTCATGAACTCTTGCTTCATTTGACGAACAAATTGATCTCCGATGTACTTATGCTTAAATTCTTCTAAAAACAATGACCAAGTTACTTGGGTGTTAGACATCCTCAATGTAATATTGGTCCACCAGATCCTTGCTTGTCCTCTCAACAAGGAAATTACTCCATCCAGCTTCTCAGCATCGGAACAATGAAGTCCCGTAAGCATGAACTTCACGTCATTAAGCCAAAGGTCCGCAGTAACAGGACCTTCATCGGCTTCCCCTCTAAACTCTGGAGCTCCTAATCCTTTCAACTCTTTCGCAACATTCATTTTTAGAGTTGAAGTAACAGGAGGTTGGAAACGCGTCAATACCGCGTCTAACGTCCTAAAGAATACATCTTGATCATTTACAGGCATTCCAGAGGATGTCTGTTCTTCACTCTGCCTGGCCAGGGCAGGTGAATTACTACTTTCAGCGGATCTATCATCTCCCACTTCATTCCTAGAACTACCTCATCCGGACATCTATAAAAATACAACCATATAGTTCTATTAGCAAAACAACATACTTACTATTCCATCAGATCAGAAGTTTCCACTATTTTGTTGGTATGTATACATTATCAAACACTCTAGACTCCGGTTTATGCGTAGAATCGACTAAATCGTAGATCTGATACTATTAAATGTAACACCCCTAACTCATATTCGACCCGAATACAAGTCCGAGATGTCACATTGACTTTTCAAACTTTGATTCTTAAAGAAAAATCCCGGGAATTTAAAACTTTCATTAAAACAAAATACTTTAATTTACATAAAAGAGACCACTTAATACAAAATCGATCAGAGCATTCGTAATTAACCATTTATTACATACCAACACTTTATACACAACAAAATACCTACTTTGTCAATTACTTCTGATCTGATTTCTTAGTAATGTTGTTGTCCGTGCCACTGCTATTCTGAATCTTCTTATTTCTTGGTACCTACTTGTAAATCACTTACATGCTAAGTCATAGACTTAGTGAGACAATAAATGAATATGCAACAATATCTTCATGAATATGCATTCTTACCATTTTCTTCATGACATTTCAATATGCATGTATCTATTACACAATAACATATATAATCATATCATGCATGTACAAAACTTACCTTCTTGTACCACTTTCACTTTACTTTGTATTTCAATTGCCCATGTATATTATTGAGAATAGAGGTATGTGAGTGCATTGAGGTTGTGCACTAATGCTGTCACCACAGCTCGTATCAATTCCCTCATGGGGCACCGAACCTTAGTTCAGTATTCGTCCCGAAGGACTGTCATATATGTCCCGTAGGACCATTACATCCCGAAGGACTACGTCCCGAAGGACTATTATACCCTCGACTCTTGGCATGCCAATTACACCTATAGTTCTCATATCGTATACTATGGGCATTATTCTTATATTTCATATGTTCATGTACTCATGTCATTTCTCTTGTGATCATGTAGCTCATGTCATCTCTCTTGTGATCATGTAGCTCATGTCATGATCTCATATCACATATCATATCACATGTGTATTTGAATCTATTCATATATATACATCACTTATCCAATCACATGAACATATATATGCCTTATGCATGTATTACAATAATTATCATGTATGCATGTTCACAACTATTGTACTATGAAAATCAATATAGGAATTAGACTTATCACAAGTCTTATTCCATTATACTATACATATAATATGCACTCACCTTATCTTTGCTTTGATTCGATTCTAATCCTTTGATCGTTCCGGAATAAGCTTACTTTTAGTAATCTACATAATCACACATGGATCTATATCAGTATTATAGCTAATATACTTTAATGGTTCACTCTTAGATTAAGATAAATGCCAATTTCCTCTTTTAATGAAGGTATGCATCGATGCACTACTTGTGCATCGGTGCATAAATTGCATTCGATGTTTTATTATTAATGGGATGCATCGATGCATGCCTTATGCATCGATGTACTAATTGCATTCGATATTTTTATTTTAAAAGAGTGCATCGATCCACTACCCGTGCATCGATACACCTTCAAACACTTTCTGGGTTTTAACCTTGATGCATCGATGCACTATGAATATGCATCGATGCACTCTGCCCAGAATCCTCTTTTTGAACCCGAAAATTTATTCATTTTGGATTAAATCCTTCATGTTTAATCCTATTTTTCATTCTTAACTATAGTACACATCCTTAAACCAATTTATACTCATTTATTTCATCTAAAACCTCCAAATTCTATCCTTCATATGTAATTCAAGAATTACATCAATAATTCAACATGTTTGAATTCCGCTTTTAACACTTCGTATATCTTAACTAGATTGATGACAAGTCAAATTTAACTTTCAATTCTAGTTATGAACTCTATTCCAAGATTTCATTTAAGAACTTCAAATCTTAAATCTCTCCTAACTCCATCATCATTTGATGTTAAGATAACTTAAGCTTTCCTTAAGCTTAGTTATCATCTAATAATCAAAACCCAATATTAAATTTAACAAGAAACTCAATAATCAGAAATCTTACCTTTGCTTTGGTTCACACGCACAAGGAAGAAAGAAGAAGAAGAGAACTCTGGAAGTCTTGGGTGTTTTCTCCCCTTCCACCCACGTGTATCCTTATATACATACTTATCTCTTCTTTAATTATTTTTCCTTGCAATTACTCTATTGTCCTTTCATTCCTTCTTCCTTTCAATTCCATCCTACACAATAATTTACATATAAATCTTTATACTATTCATTCATTTTATTTTAACCACCAAATTCTGAGACTTTACAATTTAGTCACTAACTCGGTATTGAGGATGTTACATATCATACTTCATTGTTGCCATAATCTTGAACCCGAAGCTCCGATACCAGTTTGTTAGGAATTTGAGAGTGAAAAAATAACCAAAACGATATCGACCAAAACAAGACATGCACAAGGAGATGAGATTTAATGTGGTTCATCCGTGCTTACCTCCACGGGCGAGATGAACAACAATCCACTACAAAATGTAGAGAACACGAAGAGTACAAATACATGATATCATATGTACCCCAAAACCCGATATAGATACTAAAACCCAATATATCCCAAAACACTCTTCCAATATCCCTTCAAAATTATATCTGCAACATAAGCCCCAAAAGTTGCAGGATCTCAAAAAATAATTACATCTCTCCAAAATAATTTTATCTCACACTACCCTAAAGGCTAATACATAATCTCTATTTATAGAGCATAATCTTTATTTATAATATTTATTTATAGAGACAAATACTTGGTCACCAAGAATTCTTATTTAATAAGAATTCTTACCTAAAACAAATATTACTTTATTAAATAAACCTAACTACCAATTAATCTTTAATCGCTCAAATTATAATAAAAATCCAACTTAATTACCAATTATAATTTAGGTTAAAATAAATATAACAATTTCTATGTCATTCTTTTCTTTTGACTCGTGACTTCAGTGGTAAAAGTAAATGTTATTCTTTCTAAAGGTTTTGAGTTTAAGCAGCTGTGTTTGAAAGATGTGTATACATTATAAATGATTAAATTTTTTTTGAACAAATACTACCTTATGATCACTTATAACTATTAAAAAATAAAAACCAAAAAATTTGGTGGCAATTATTGATCAAACGATGGAAGGAATCGATTGTGGCAATGAAAAAGAAAAGGCGTTCTTTTAAAGAAAGGAATGAGAAAATACGAATACGTGAAACTCACACATGAAAGATAAACTTATTGCTAAGAAATTCATAAACTCTCTAGTTAATTATTTTAAAGTATTTTAATTGTTATATGGTTGAAATGACTCGTGATAATATCAAATCGGTTCAATTGTTTTGGATACATCATCATTTAATGATTTAATGATATTATCCTCATAATGGTAGAACACAAAAGTTAAAGGTATACTAACATTTAGAAAGAAGAAGCATTGGAGTGGTCTCAGTAATTAAATTTTTTTATAACTCGAGTTTAAACAATGTAATCTATACGTATGCATGAGTTTAGATCTAGATATTTTCAAAATATAAAGAGTAAATGTATCACATTAGAATATTCGATAAAGTACAGGGGCATTTGTAGAATTATACTATTAGATGTATAAGAAGCATTAGACCTCACAATCATATCATAATTAGGGAAGGGTATGGACCTAAACTCGGCTAGTTATGATCTAATATGATCCGATCGAATTGATTTTTTTTAAAATATAAATTTAAATTGAGGGTAGAAAATATTCGATCTGAAAAAAAATATAATTTTACTTTATATATTTAAAAATAATATAATAATATCCTTTTTATATATTAATTTTTCAATTAGATTTTTATTTTTAATGAATAAAAATAATATTTTTATTATTTTGTTTCATATTTGATTAATTTTTAATTTTATCTCAAAAATCTAGTTGGATTCAAATTGGATAGAGAATATATATTTTTTTGACTTGAATGAAAAGTATAAAATTTTCAAACCAGATCTGATCGGCCTAAACCGACCCGTGCCCATCCACCCATCCCCAGTCCCCACCGTCACTTGTAATTCTTTATTTCTTCTAACATTTTCCCCCACGCCTTTTCCCATCGTCTTCGTATACGATATTCTCGATTCTTCTTCTTTCTCCATCCCCATATCAAAGCCTTTGAAAAAAAGTCAAGCCTTTAAACTTCAATCCGAAAAAATGACGAACTACGGCACAATCCCAACTTCCTCGTCGGCGGGACCGTCGGCGAACATCGAATACCTATCTCGAGCGAAAGAAAGAATCAAAGAAGGGCTCGCAGATCGCCGTCCATGGAAACTTATGTTCAACATCCGCTCCTTCAACTTCCCCGGAAGCCTATCCGAAGCTATTTCCCGGGTCAGAAGTAACGTTTCTTACTTCACCATGAACTACGCCATGATCGTGCTTTTCATCCTTTTCCTCAGCCTTTTATGGCACCCCATCTCGCTCATAGTCTTCGTGGCCATGATGGCAGCTTGGTTGTTCCTGTACTTCCTGCGGGACGAGCCTTTAGCTGTTTTCCGGCGTACCGTCAGCGACCGCGTGGTGCTGGTCGTTCTCGGGGTTTTGACGATCGTTTTCTTGCTGTTGACGGATGCCACGCCCAATATTTTGTGGTCGCTTTTGGCTGGCGTGGTTGTCGTTTTGGTCCACGCTTCGTTCAGGAGGACCGACGATTTGTATGATGAGGAATCTGCTGGCTTGGCATCATCTTCATAATTCTGGGTTTCTTTCTTTCTTTCTTTTGATGGCTATTCTTTGTGTGGTTTTAGATTAAGTTCTTATTGGTGAAAGTATAGTTTCGTTTGTTTCATTGTCTTGTTCAATTGAATGGGGTTTATTTCTTGTTTAACGCTGTTGAATGCATGAATCGTAATCGGCTGCAAGGTTTGCAGTTTGCAAGCAGCTTTGACTTTGAACGGCGGATGAGTCCCGAGTAGCGATGGACATTTGAGTTTTGATTCGATGAGTTTTTAATTCGGTATAATCTATCAAATTTTTATTTTAAACATTTGAGCTTGTGTTAGATGCTTTTAAAAGGTAGAATAGGGTAAAAATAATAAAATATTTAATTTTTATATCATATTTGGATCGACTAAAAGATGAGGGAATCTATTGTTAAGGGTTGAGGTAGATACCAAATCAAGATTGAATATTAAATAATTGAAGGGGCTGAAAGTGAGGCCTAAACAAATTGAAAAGCCGAGGAGAAAGGGGTCCTCATGAATAATGATCTCGACATTGGCAAAAGCTGGATGCACATGGATATGGTGGAGTGGTCACCAATCAACAAGGAAGCGACATAAAATTAATGCAAAAGACTCGAGGCTTTTTGGCAATTTCATTTGAAGTCAAAATATAAGAGCTAAGCTTTAATCGGTCATTAAAATGTTTTGGAATATAATTTGAAAAGACCCAAATTTTCTTTATTAATCATCACCCCATGGTATAAGGGGAAATAATTTTTTTTGCTTATAAATAAATATAAGGTATTATTTATTTAAATATTTTTAATCATTTGATAATAATAAATTCTTTTACTATTAAGATTACGTGATTCGAGGGAAACGAAGTTAGATCCACAAGTTGGGGGTAAAAAAATTAGAATCCTAAGACTAAGACCTAACATCAAGGTGGCAGCATGAGGGAACCCAGTTTTGGTTTAAAAATTTGGACTAGTTTCTGGAGATAAGAATTGGTAATCTGGAACATAATCTATTCGTGTCGTACTCTTGTTTTCAATACCTGTTAGTTTCTGATAGCTGTAAGGGGAATCATGACGTCCATGTGGAACTCATGTGAGTGAGAGTCCCCATCAGCGGCGGACATCGGATTTATTGGGCAGAATTAAGAGAAAAAAAGAAAGAAATAAAGAAAGGGTGAACCATTTTTCCCATTCAATTTTCCTTGTGTTTTTGTTTTAATTATTCAATTTTTCTAATTTTATCACTAAATTTATAAATTTCATTTAATCGTTAAATATCGAACGTCATCGTCACTAAACTAACTTTCAAAATATGAAGTTTTTGAACAAATAATCTTCATACCTATAGGTGTAACATAAAGTGGAGTACAAATGAGTAGTCGTACGATATAAATTATTTTATGATTAATATAATTACTTTATCATTCTGATTGTTATGAAAAATTTTATAATGTGTTCCATCATTTTGTGGATCTCTACCTAGTGAAATTTGTCACTGAATTATTTAAATGTCAAAAGCATTTAGAAATTCTTAGAAGTTTGTACAAATATACATAGAATGAATCATTTGAGCATATGTGACATACATAGGTCAATGAATATTTTTGAAGGTTATAAAGATGATTCAACTTACTCACGTGTAAAGATATCAAAACTAAAATATGCTTATTGTATATATTTTTGATAGTTTGATCTGAAACTCCTGAAAATATTTAGATTATAAATTCTAAACATCTTCAAAAGCGTCATGATTGTTTAAAGAGAATATTTGAAATAAAGATTTATCTCAACCTGTAGATCGAGTACGTAAATATGACTTTTTTACGAGTGTACAAAAAAGATCTTAAATAGATTCAACCTGAATAGAATATATGTATTGAGTACTCAAATAAGAGAAAATAATTTCAGTGACCGAAAATACCTTATAATATATGATTTTAACCAACTTTTTTTGGATTTGCGAAAATAACCAACAAATTCGCAACACGATCTCCAATTTCGCAACACAGTTTCCAAATTTGCAACTCAGTTTTGAAATTCACAACTCGAATTTCTTTTTCGCAACGCGATTTTCTAAATTCGCAATGCGGTTTTCAAATTCGGAACACGAACTCCAATTTCGCAACGCAGTTTCCAAATTCGTTCGCAACACGGAATTTCAAATTCGCAATGCAAATTTCTTTTTAGCAACGCGATTTTTAAATTCGCAACACAAGTTTCCTTTTCGCAACAAGAATTTCTAATTCACAACACGAATTTTGTTTTCGCAACTCGATTTCCGAATTCGCAACACAAATTTTCGCAACACAAATGTTTTGGGTATATAAACTATGCAGCAGCAGCTACTCATAACCTAAATCCCTAAATCGTAACTCATTCCATCTCCATCTCTCACTCTCTCCGGCGACATCCATTCCTATATCCAACGATATCTTTCCCCATCTCTAATTGTTTTTTTACATAATTTTATTTCTATATAATTTTTCAATGATTTCTCTCCCAAATTATCAACTATCAACTTAATAAAGGTATGTTTTTCTCTAAGTTAGTGATGATATCTAGTTTATAGCTCGTTTGTTTAGTAAATTAATTTACAATTTGTAGAATGAAATCATCTAATGTTGATCATGTTTGGATAGATTTGTGTTATGGAGGGTCATGAGAGAATGTGAATGGTGTTTTACAATATATGCATTTACCCATAAATCTTCAACTAAAACTATCATTAAAAAAGTTAACTTATGAAACTCTAATGTTACGTGTTTCAAAGAAATTGAATTTAGAGCGTCTAAGTGGATTTAACCTATCTTATCAGAGAAAAGGTAAAGTTTATTTGTTAACTGACAATGAAGATGTTGAACGATTCATTGCTTACATTAGTGTTTCGCAAGATGATGTTACATTGTATGTTGTTGAACCTAGAAGTAGTGAAGTTGGGTCAGTAACGGGTAGTAATCAACTAAGTTATTCAGCCCCAGTTTATGGTGCTCACAATGTACAACGTTGTTATCAACCTCAAAATTTCATGGTTCCACCACAATTTCATCACCAAGAAAATTTTGTTTCAGCACATTTCCAATACCAAACACAATATCAAACACAATCTCAAAACCCACAACCTTTCCCTAATCCAAATTCCAATCAACTTTTAGCACCAAATTCCGGTATTCCTATTGACCAGTTAGACGATGATGAGCCAATAGAAAAAAATGTGAGTACTAGTCAGTATTCGAAATTTGATCTTGGTCAATACCCGGACTTTGATCTTGGTCAATACCCGGACTTTGATCTTGGCCAATACTCAGATTTTGATGATGTTTCAGAAGAAGAAACAGACCCTGCGTGTAATGATTTTGATATTGGTAAATACCCGAATTTTGATGATGAAACAACCGTTGCCGATGAAGATGTTGTTGATGATAATGAGGAGGAAGTTACGGCTGTGAATGAACATGTTGAACATCCATTATGTAATTCATATAACCCTGAAGAAGAAAAAGAAGAAGAAAAAGTCCTCGAAAAAAGAAAAAGGAGAAAATGCCACGAGAGTATAACTGGAATATGCCAGAATTACTTCAAATACCGGAAGAAGAGTTGGTAAAGATAACATTTGATTGTTACAAAAAAGTTATTCGTATCAAGAAAGATGATTGTTTTGATACAAAGGAAGACTTGAAGATAGTTTTGTATACGAAATGTGTGGAAGATGACTATCAACTAAAAGTTAACAAATCAAGCAAAGATCGTTTCGAAACAAAGTGTAGGATTGACAAAAACTGTACGTGGCGTATGATTGCAAAGAGGATAAAAGATTGCGAAATGTTTCAAGTAAGAACTTGATAAACATACATGTTCAAGAACCCAAGTTTTTCCTCAAAATAGACAGGCAAACAAAAAGGTGTTGGGTGGTTTTCTGGCTGAGTTAATGTTTTTGAATGGCAAGGTATATCGGGGACATGAAATTATGACTGACATGAATGCTCGGTTCAAGATTAGTATCTCATATTCTCAAGCTTGGAGAACCAAATGTTATGCATTGGACATGGTTTATGGGGTATCTTAGGGATTACGTAGGTCTTATTAGCAATCTGACAATCATATCCAATAGGGCAAACTCAATTGACAACGCTATTAGAAGGTGTTTCCCAGATGCTTTTCATGGAATTTGTTGTGTTCATTTGTACAGAAATCTAAAATCAAGGTATGCTGGTATAAAAAATCACAAATGGACATACTGGAAGGCTGTTTAAGCTTATCGGGAAGTGGATTTTAATAAGCATATAAATTGTTTAAGACGTGTTTTACCTCAATGTGCTAAAACACTAGAAGATGTCGGGTTTGAAAGATGGTCAAGAGTACATCAACTTGGAGCAAGATATGGTTTCATGATGTCTAATAGTGCAGAATCAATCAACGCTCTAAGTCGTCATTCCCAAAAATTACCCATTACTATGTTAATGGAGTTTTTTCGAGCCTCTATTCAACAGTGGTACTACAAGAAAAGAAACCATGCAAGTATTATTTCTTTAAATTCGTAACTTATCATATTTAATGGATTTTACTAAGTATTCTTTATTTAAATTTACAGGAACATTGGAACGCCGTGTTACACCATGGAATGAAAAATAGATAACGAAACGTGTTGTGAAGTCAACGTCATGGAGAGTTAAACCATGTTCAAACACTCTGTTTGAAGTCTTGGATAATGACTTAAATGGGCTTGTCGATCTAAATGCAAAGATGTGTAGTTGTATGAAATGGAAAACATCTAGTTATCAATGTGACCATGTTATAAAAGTTGCTCTTCATCTAAACCAAGATGATTCAAGCGTGTTGGGATTTTCGGAAGCTCGAATCGACAACCGGAATGGTTTGCAAAGAGGGGTCGGAATAGTTTTTTTGTTTAGGGAGTAAGGAGATTGAAAGATAGAGAATTGCACAGCGATTTATAGTGGTTCGACTTTCTCAACCAAAGTCTACGTCCACTACCTTAGCTCCTCACCAAGGATTTTCCAACAAATTCACTAATTTGTTCTTTCTTTTCAGGAAAAAGAGATAACCTTACAACTCCCTAGTTTTTCCGGGCTAAACTAGAACCTTTCCCCTTTACAAAAGGATAAGAAATGTAAACAAGAAAACCTCTCTAAGGTAGGTGATTACAAGAATTAAGCTCACAAGAACAAAATATTTACAAGAGAAAGATGAAATAAGAATGAAAAACTATTCTCTTGTGTTTGATTGCTTGGATAGTTG